CACTTTGTATGGTCTACAGAAACTCCGAGCCACTGACTACCCACGCATGTAAGCATTTCCCTCTTTGCATGATTTGTAGAAAGCCTCTCACTGATCCCTGTAACTATTCCCTCTTTGCATGAATTGTAGAAAATCTCTCATGTAAGTATTGTGTACAATTCATGAAAAATCTTATCTAAAAGAATCCTGAGATCGAAATTAGAAATGTTTCCTAAAACGAAAGTGGCCACAAAAACAACAAAATTGAGTGATTACAGCAATGAGTACTTATTATGTATGATTGACACAACATGTTTCCGTCGAGTGCAAGCGAGCTTAGCTTTGTTTCCCAATATTGCTGCCAGACCAACGGATTTTATCATTTTTGTCACGGTGATCAAATAATCAGCGGGATTTTCTGTATAAACAGTGGGGTGCAACTTTGAACTATGTATACTACCACATTATCGGTGAATCAGTAAGTAGACAAATAGTGAATTCATGAGACGTCTTACCTCCAAAACCACGATATATCTGTTTGGGACAACCTCTTCGGGCAGTTCAGCTGGAATAAACTCAGCAGGTTCAATCCTATCAAAACTGGGCCTGACGTAATGATCAGGAAAAGGTTGGAGAGATAAAGTATCTTCCCAGTAGTCAAAGTTGACAAGTTCATCTGGAACACGACTAGCTGACGCCGTGTCATCTCGAAACGCATCACCGCCGTTAAATTGCCGGGCACCACTGAAAAATCTTTGACCAACTACGCCTTTGTTGGCATGATGCAGTATTAGTAATACTATAGAAACCTCGCTAACGGCGCTACATCGGCGTAGATGTTGAAGCCCATCATATACCGTACACGTATAATAGCATAAATCAAAGGAATACAACTGTGAGTTGACGCTGTAAGTTTGAAGACTGGAGTTACACTGAGAGCGATATCCTGTTTTGGTGCTATAAGTGACGTCTGTATACAACATTTCGGCGAAACACGGATGCTTACATTTTGAGTTGACGTCTGTTCAGGGTGACCTTCCGTGAACCATGGAGGTATACCTCAATGCGTGAACTAATGACGTACACAGTGTGTGAATGTAAACACTGCTACTATTCACTGTGAGTTTTGTTATGATTGTGGTGGTACTACATGTACACATGTGCAGTATTATTTCGAGACAGTGAAGCCACGGTCATCCCTGTTTCGTGTACACTATAATTACACTACTAGTATATATAGTGCATAAACAGCCAGAATAATACGCCGGAAGGCAGACAATGCCCCATCCGCTCACGCTGTAGAGTTCTCCGAAACATCACTTCCACACTTCATATATTCTTCGTAAGTGTAAAACCCTAGCAGCTCCCCACATCACAGCAGTCAAAGTTGTAAACAAATAGTACTATTATCGCTAATGCCATATATTTTCCAAATTGGCTCCTCATACACAGCTCCTAAGTATACGAATTTTCAAGGTCGTATTTTTACCAAACGCTTCAGCGTGGTATTAAGAGTTTGTTTTCAGGGGTGGGTGATACCAAGGTGGGAAATGGATGCACATATGGGGTTAATTCCTTGAATTGCAATATAGAGGGTTCAGGCTGAAATACAATATATAGTGTTTTCATGTTTCGTCTGATATTTCTGTGGTATTCTGCTGCTGTAAGTAATGCACGATTTGTTCCGAAATTCAGTATATTGTGTGTATTCCAGGGTTATTCGTTTTTTGCTGAAAACACCCCTATTTTTTAGTGGCAGAGTTTGAATAGTCTCACTCCCACTGGGAAATCTGCATTGTTGCTTGAATGTGAGTTAATTAAACACATTTTCCAGACCGGCGAAAGAGTATGCAACAGCCAATTTTAACAGCCTGTCACGTGATTTTAGTCTGAGTGTCAACATGAAGAGG